TGTGTGTGTGTGTGTGTGTGTGTGTGTCTCTGTCTGTCTGTCTACACAACAATGTGTTTCTGTTAGACTCCAGCTGCCTTTGGGAAGGAAATCTGATCTGATCTTCTGGGATTCAGTAACAAACACATGAAATGTTTCGTGTCTAACAGCAACTCATCAACAGAACATTCATCACACTTTCAGTGAAAATATCTTCAGTTCATCACTACAGCAGCTTCTGAATCTCCAACACACCATTTATAGTTTTAATAAGATAACTTGAACAGTTTTATATGCATTATCTGATTAAAACTAAAAACACTGTAATTCATACAAAACTGGACAAGAAGAGCATATCAAACAACACTGGATCAGGATCACAGCCCAAAAAAAATATATATTTTAATAACTTAATACAGTTTGAGTTGAGTTTTGTTGCATCTGTGTTTCTTCACTGAGGCGAAGTCCTGCATTAAAATCTCAAACGTAGGTGAAACCAGTGACTCCATTCATGAATCATAATAAGATTGTACATTACAGACCATAACAGAAGATCCAGTGACTCAAAATCTGCATGGAATTAGATCTCAGTTTATCATCGTCATGACAACACACAAGACACGCCCTGCTGCCGCATCACTGCCGTGGTGTGAGTTTAAAACCCCGCCCATCGCGCTGGACCTGACCAATGAGATCATCAGAAGGAGAATATTCTAAAGCTGCGAGCTGCTGATTGGACGGCGTCATTATTCACCTGCACACTGAGATCCTCAGCAGAGAACACATGATGACTGTGAACCATCACAATGTTCCACACAGATGAACATTTATTAGTCATTTGGCAGACACAGGCCTGCTGTTGTGCTGAATTTTAATTCCTTGCCAGATAATGAAGTCTGATCTGATCTTCTGATCTAAACTCACACCTAACCCTAACAGTACTGCATGAGGAGTCAGCTTCAGCTCTGGTGTGTGAAGGAGCTCTCAAGACTCACAAATGAAGAAAAACACAAACAGTTATTATCAGTGAGCAACAATATTGGCAGAATGCCGAATTTCAAGAGTAAGCCAGTAAACAGACGTTTACCTCTAGAAAAATGGGGAAAAAAACGGATGTTTGTATTTATGGTTCCAAAAATAAAACCATTAATAAACATGGTTCTATAGATAAATATGGTTCCATAAATACATAAGTGTGGTTAAATAAGTGAATGCCACACGCAGTTCTTAAGAGTGTCACACATGCATCATGTTCTTGTGGATGCACTAACGCCGGTTCTACAACATGCCTGACCTGAACACGACCTCAAGATTACCTCTTATCCATCATCACCTGGATTCAACCCAGAGTTCCTCGGATTCATGAAAAAACCACCTGAAGACGATGGAATATGTGATTAAATACTGTAGAGCGAGAGTGAAGTTCAGTCACGAGATATTGACTGACGGACGGACGGACGGATGGATGGATGGATGGGAATCTTCAGCTTTATGATAGACAATGAAGCTGTCCATAAAACATCTGACATCTGGATGAAAGCGAATCTCAGACCAACACTCGAACAAACACCAGAGAGAATAACAGAACAGCAGCATCAAGAAATCAACACAAACACACTGATTTCTGGTTTCAAAATGTGCATTTATTTAAAAACAATGTCAAAAACAGTTGAGTTGTTTCTTTGGGTGTAATTTCATTCAGATCACTGGACCATCAGTCCTGAGATAAAGAATTAAAACTCCTACGGGTTCATCCCATCTTCACAAAAGTAAAACTGACCTCAGATGATGCATCAACAGTAACAGCATGAGAATCCATTCAAGACTTCACCAGTCTGGTCATATCAGTTTCATGCTTCATAAACGTATAAAAGTCCCTGAATGACACAGGTTCATTCCCTCTGTAGTGCACATCGATTTCTGGATGACCTTTATATATCGCATCTGATAAACAACACATTTAAAAGATAAAAGCAAGAAACTCAAAATCATACATTTACACAATAAATAAGAGCGTTCTTCGTACAAAGTCTTGGGTTTAGACGGTGTGATAAAAGCGAGTGTTTACAGAGACAGACTGCAGATGTTTGAGGAGCGTTTGTGATTCTTCATTCGTCTGATAACAGTGCAAACGCTCCGATCCTTCAGATAACACGCTGCACTAGCCTCGTAATAAACAAAGCGTGCACAACAACAACAACAACAACAACAGAACGTAAACACGCGACTCTAACGGAGGTCAGAGGTCACCTGAATCTCAGCGCAGACACGTGACCCTGAGCACTGATTCACGTGTCGAAGGCATCGTGGGATATTCACGCATTCAAACGTTACACAGGCACGATCAGATTTAAGGCCCAGAATTCAGAACTTCACACGCGTGAGCAAACGAACCGCAGAACGAAACAGAACAAGTACACTGTCATTCTCATTATTACTAAAGTAGCGCCGTGCATTCATAAATACAAGCACTTCATCAAAACAAAGTCAAACAGATTGTTCAAGTGTGTCTAAGAAGGAGAAATATAAATAAAATCTGTGACAGTCAACGAGCATAGTGCAAGAAGAGAGAGACACCTGTCTGCCCCCCACATTATCACGAACATTTACAAAGATCATTTTAAATATTACAAAGTTGTAATACCTTCAATAAGAGGACCTTAAAAGCTCACGAATCACAAATGAAAACAGTGGCGTGCTTGTGGCAAAGCCTCGGGATCCAACAGATTCCTGAAGAGTGTCTGTTTGAGATCTTCTGCTCTTCACTGTGATGACGTTAGATAAGAGTGTGTGTGTGTCTGTGTGAGTGTGTGTGAGAGAGTGTGTGAGAGTGTGTGTGAGAGTGTGTGTGTGTGAGAGAGTGTGTGAGTGTGTGTGTGAGAGAGTGTGTGTGAGTGTGTGTGTCTTCATTCCTTATATGATGCAGGCATGATAAAAAGCAGGGCTGATCCTGGGATTGTTTCGCACATGTGGACGAGCGTTTCCTTCAGCTCGCTGAGCAGCATTTAAAGTGACCTTGAGCTTCTGGAGGAACTTCTGGAGGAGCGTCAGGCTGCGTCTTCATCCACACTGATCATCTGACACTGAGACACAAACACACACACATTAATCCCGTCTGAGGACATTCATGGCTGAATCTAAACACATCGGTTCAGTCAATCAATCAAATGTGTCATAAATGACTCTTCTGTTCTAGTTAAATTGATCAGCAACTTTTCATGTTTCTGCCGCATCAGGACGAATCAGTACTGCTTACAGTGCACTGAATTCATGCAGATTTACATAAAATATCTGATAACAGCACGTGTGTGTGACTGACAGCTGCTGAACATCAGTCTGGCGTGTGTGTGTGTGTGTGTGAGAGAGAGAGAGAGAGAGAGAGTGAGTTGCCGCCAGTGTCTCCATAGCAACACGCTACCAACCACCAGCAGACACATGGCGACTGTGCGAGAGAGACACAGAGAGACAGAGACGGAGAGAGAGAGAGAGAGAGAGAGAGAGAGAAAGAGAGAGACAGACAGGTCACTCACGCTGGCGATCGGTCAGTGAGCGGCTCGTGTGTATCATGAGAATGAAGGTTTACTGACCGATTGGAAGGATGATGTACAGGACTGTGGGGTGCTGGGAAGAGCTGGAAACCGGCGTGTGTTCTTCATTAATTCCTGTAAAGAGGCAGACAGATGTTAAGTGTGTGATCGGAGTGGATGAGCGTGCATCAGACAGGAGGATGGACTGACCGCTCCGAGAGCCCGTCTGTGTGGCGTGTGTCTGCTGCTGATGGTCAGGTGTTGATCCGGAGCGTCTGGGTGCGGTTCTGCTCGGCGCCGTGCTGTTTACACCTGCACAGAGAACAGCCAGCGGTGAGCTTCTCGATGAAACCGTCTGGAGTGAATCCAGATCGGGTGTGAACGCACCTGACACACACGTCCTCATGTCTGCGCGCAGGGTCATGTGATCAGGACAGGCGCAGGTGTATTTGGGCGAGCGTGTGTTAATCTGCGGCGCCGGCAGACACAGAAACTCACAGCCGCCGTTGAGCGCAGCCGCGTCTCTGCACCAGTCCCTTCCTGCAGAACAACGACAAACATGCAGATCAGCGACTGAGATACACAGATAAACAGAGCAATACTGGCATCAAACACACACAGAACACGTCGAGCGCTGAATGAGTGACTCGTGAAGCGCCATGGTTCTCACCGGAAGGCTGTTTCAGACTGTGATAAAGCACGATGTCTTCAGGACTCTGCAGATGTTCGGCCACAGCGGCGATGTCTCGTCCCGTCACGCGGTTGGCGCTCCAGATGCTGTTACTGTGCATGTCAGTCCAGAAGACTTTCTCCTGTGGGACAGACAGACACACATGAGCACCTGAGGAACCGCACACATGCTCACGTCTCAGCGGCCGACACGCACCTCGAACACAGCGAGCGCCAGCGGGTGCCACAGCTTCTGCTCGTCGTAGATCAGCGTGTGCCGCCCGTCTCCGTTCACACCGATGCTGGACAGTGTGTGCAGCTTCGAGTCGACCCAGTACAGACGGCCGTTCAACACATCTGAACACAAAGCGTCACGCGTCAGCACACGCCGCACACGGAGCTTCACACGCATCATCTGTGTGACTCACCGAGCGTGATGCCGTTGGGCCAGGCGATGTCATCCGTGACGAGAGGCGTGCGGTCGGCACCGTTCAGCCCGCTCTTCTCGATCCGCGCCGGCTCGCCCCAGTCCGTCCAGAACATGAAACTGTGAAACAACAGATCAATAATCAGTACGAACGCTTTCACACACACTTCATCCCGTCTGCACACACTCACTTGCGCTGCGGGTCGACGACGATCGCGCGCGGATTCTGCAGGCCCTCGCTGACGAGCGTCTTGCGTTTGCTGCCGTCTGCCGTCGCCACGGAGACGGTCCGCAGCTCGCCGTCTGTCCAGTAGATGTTTCCGTGGACCCAGTCCACCGCCAGACCCTCGGGGCGGGAGATCCGGCTGTCAATCACAGTGCTGTGGTGGGCGGGGTCAGCGGCCGCGGCGCTGCGGGACACAAACACGCGAGATACACTATAAACACGCAGAAATACATGATGGTCTGATTCAGCATTACACTAGCAAATAAACAGAGCCCAAAAACTGATTAAAATATTACATGAAAAAAGTAATCTGATTACGTAACTCTCACTACTGCCAATCAGTCAGTCGGGTCTCTCACCTGTAGATCTTCTTCAGACTCACGTCAGACCAGAAGATCCTGTCGCTGTGAACATCCACGTCCAGCGCCACCACGTTCTTCTGCTGGCGGATCAGCGCCGTGTATGTCCGGCTGCCCAGCGCCATCTTCCGGACCTCGTGCCGCATGCTGAAGAGCAGGAACGCACCGGATCCTGCGGGAGGACACATGCATCTCAAGCTCTGAGCCGTTACCCATAATTCCCTCTGATCACTCGTTTCTGTTCAGTCACGCACCTGTTACCGCTTTGCAGTCTTTGGTCATGTGATCCAGCTCAAACCCATCTTTACAGTCACACCTGAAGCTGCCCGGCAGGTTTATGCAGATCTGAGTGCATCTGTCTGCGTCTGCACACTCGTCCACGTCTACACACACACACACACACACACACACTCGTGATGAGACCACACGCACTCACGGACCATCATGCACTGCGCTCATCGGGACGGAGCTCACCTTCACAGTGTGTGCGGTTGATCAGGTGGAATCCGGCCGGACACACACACTCGTATCCCATCTTCAGGTCGCTGCAGGTGTGGGAACAGCCGCCGTTGTTAGTGAGGCACTCGTTAGTGTCTGCAGGAAACACACGTCACATGATCATCAGTTTCAACAGATTTTTAGAGTTCAACAGCCAATCAGATCAGTGAGGACGCTGGAGGAAAGGCTTGTGAAAGTGATGCCAAAATCTGCCACACACTGCGACGCAGCATCAGCTGACCAGCGAGAGTTAGAAGAGGTGGATGCTGGAAATTCACATTTACACTGGATTGAAAGGGTTAGTTCATCCAGAAATTAACATTCTGTCATCATTTACTCATCTCCTCATGTCGTTCCAAACCTGTAAGAGTTTCTTCTGTTGAACACAAAGAAAGAGGTTTTGAAGAATGTGGTCCTCAATGACTGATATAGTATTTTTTCCATACTGTGGACGTCAATGGAGACCAACAACTGTTTGCTACCAACGTTCTTCAGAATCTCTTCCTTTGTGTTCAGCAGAAGAAACTCACGAGTAAATGATGACATCTGTTGCAGGAACACAGAGTGAAACTCACTGCAGTCTTTGAGAGGCTCGTCTGACCAGTCGCGGCAGTCTCTCTGACCGTCACACACACTGTCTGCGCTGATGCACTCGCCGCTGCCGCACTTAAACCGGCTCGGTCCGGCACACGCGTGCACTGCAGACAGACACACAGTTATGGTCAGACAGCAGCTTTATCACATTCTCGAGTGTGACGGACGGCGTGCGACGCTCACCGGTGACGCAGTCCGTCTCATCGCTGTGATCCCGGCAGTCAGGATTCCCGTCACACTGCCGTATTCCCGGGACACAGCTGCCGTCGTTACACAGGAACTCATCCGGACGGCAGGTGAGCGCGGCTGCGACAGACACAGAACATGAGCGAACGATCTCTCAGACACACTGCATTCTGCATCAGACATCGAACACGCGTGGACTCACTGCAGTTGTGCTCGTCTGAGCCGTCTGCGCAGTCAGTGCCTCCGTCACACCTCCAGCTGCCGTGGACACACTCGCCGCTGGAGCACAGGAGCTCGTGATCGCGGCAGACCGTCTGCGGCTGCTGACCTGTGCCACCTGTGCAGTTCTGCAGCCACTCGTCAGAGCCGTCTGCGCAGTCGGTGTCCCCGTCACAGGCCCAGAGCCGCGGCACGCACACAGAGTTATTGCACTGGAAGGAGCCGGGGCCGCAGGTGGGCGCGGGACAGGACGCCTCGTCGCTGCCGTCGTCGCAGTCAGAGTCAGAGTCGCACACGAACGACAGCGACACGCACTGACCGCTGCGGCAGTGGAACTCCTCGTCCGTGCAGTTCTTCAGGACTAAAACAACACAAGAACAAAACCACCGTAAACACAGCTGAACATGCGACCTGTCATCTAGTAAAGTGAGCTTGAGATGGTTATATTTACCGCAGCCCTGCTCGTCTGCGCCGTTCTCGCAGTCAGACTTCCCGTCGCAGCGCCACCTGGTGGACACGCACTGATTGAGACGCCCGCCGCAGCTGAACTGACCCGACGAACACGTCTTCTGGCCTGCGGCGGAGAGTGAGCGTTAGCATACTGATCTCTGAGCTTTAATGAGTTTATCAAGCGCACACTCAATCATCTCATCAAGCAAAAGCAAATATAATGCCTGTAAACATCAGCAGGTTTGACTGTCTGCGGCGGGCTCGTGTGTATCATGAGAATGAAGGTTTACTGACCGATTGGAAGGATGATGTACAGGACTGTGGGGTGCTGGGAAGAGCTGGAAACCGGCGTGTGTTCTTCATTAATTCCTGTAAAGAGGCAGACAGATGTTAAGTGTGTGATCGGAGTGGATGAGCGTGCATCAGACAGGAGGATGGACTGACCGCTCCGAGAGCCCGTCTGTGTGGCGTGTGTCTGCTGCTGATGGTCAGGTGTTGATCCGGAGCGTCTGGGTGCGGTTCTGCTCGGCGCCGTGCTGTTTACACCTGCACAGAGAACAGCCAGCGGTGAGCTTCTCGATGAAACCGTCTGGAGTGAATCCAGATCGGGTGTGAACGCACCTGACACACACGTCCTCATGTCTGCGCGCAGGGTCATGTGATCAGGACAGGCGCAGGTGTATTTGGGCGAGCGTGTGTTAATCTGCGGCGCCGGCAGACACAGAAACTCACAGCCGCCGTTGAGCGCAGCCGCGTCTCTGCACCAGTCCCTTCCTGCAGAACAACGACAAACATGCAGATCAGCGACTGAGATACACAGATAAACAGAGCAATACTGGCATCAAACACACACAGAACACGTCGAGCGCTGAATGAGTGACTCGTGAAGCGCCATGGTTCTCACCGGAAGGCTGTTTCAGACTGTGATAAAGCACGATGTCTTCAGGACTCTGCAGATGTTCGGCCACAGCGGCGATGTCTCGTCCCGTCACGCGGTTGGCGCTCCAGATGCTGTTACTGTGCATGTCAGTCCAGAAGACTTTCTCCTGTGGGACAGACAGACACACATGAGCACCTGAGGAACCGCACACATGCTCACGTCTCAGCGGCCGACACGCACCTCGAACACAGCGAGCGCCAGCGGGTGCCACAGCTTCTGCTCGTCGTAGATCAGCGTGTGCCGCCCGTCTCCGTTCACACCGATGCTGGACAGTGTGTGCAGCTTCGAGTCGACCCAGTACAGACGGCCGTTCAACACATCTGAACACAAAGCGTCACGCGTCAGCACACGCCGCACACGGAGCTTCACACGCATCATCTGTGTGACTCACCGAGCGTGATGCCGTTGGGCCAGGCGATGTCATCCGTGACGAGAGGCGTGCGGTCGGCACCGTTCAGCCCGCTCTTCTCGATCCGCGCCGGCTCGCCCCAGTCCGTCCAGAACATGAAACTGTGAAACAACAGATCAATAATCAGTACGAACGCTTTCACACACACTTCATCCCGTCTGCACACACTCACTTGCGCTGCGGGTCGACGACGATCGCGCGCGGATTCTGCAGGCCCTCGCTGACGAGCGTCTTGCGTTTGCTGCCGTCTGCCGTCGCCACGGAGACGGTCCGCAGCTCGCCGTCTGTCCAGTAGATGTTTCCGTGGACCCAGTCCACCGCCAGACCCTCGGGGCGGGAGATCCGGCTGTCAATCACAGTGCTGTGGTGGGCGGGGTCAGCGGCCGCGGCGCTGCGGGACACAAACACGCGAGATACACTATAAACACGCAGAAATACATGATGGTCTGATTCAGCATTACACTAGCAAATAAACAGAGCCCAAAAACTGATTAAAATATTACATGAAAAAAGTAATCTGATTACGTAACTCTCACTACTGCCAATCAGTCAGTCGGGTCTCTCACCTGTAGATCTTCTTCAGACTCACGTCAGACCAGAAGATCCTGTCGCTGTGAACATCCACGTCCAGCGCCACCACGTTCTTCTGCTGGCGGATCAGCGCCGTGTATGTCCGGCTGCCCAGCGCCATCTTCCTGACCTCGTGCCGCGTGCTGAAGAGCAGGAACGCACCGGATCCTGCGGGAGGACACATGCATCTCAAGCTCTGAGCCGTTACCCATAATTCCCTCTGATCACTCGTTTCTGTTCAGTCACGCACCTGTTACCGCTTTGCAGTCTTTGGTCATGTGATCCAGCTCAAACCCATCTTTACAGTCACACCTGAAGCTGCCCGGCAGGTTTATGCAGATCTGAGTGCATCTGTCTGCGTCTGCACACTCGTCCACGTCTACACACACACACACACTCGTGATGAGACCACACGCACTCACGGACCATCATGCACTGCGCTCATCGGGACGGAGCTCACCTTCACAGTGTGTGCGGTTGATCAGGTGGAATCCGGCCGGACACACACACTCGTATCCCATCTTCAGGTCGCTGCAGGTGTGGGAACAGCCGCCGTTGTTAGTGAGGCACTCGTTAGTGTCTGCAGGAAACACACGTCACATGATCATCAGTTTCAACAGATTTTTAGAGTTCAACAGCCAATCAGATCAGTGAGGACGCTGGAGGAAAGGCTTGTGAAAGTGATGCCAAAATCTGCCACACACTGCGACGCAGCATCAGCTGACCAGCGAGAGTTAGAAGAGGTGGATGCTGGAAATTCACATTTACACTGGATTGAAAGGGTTAGTTCATCCAGAAATTAACATTCTGTCATCATTTACTCATCTCCTCATGTCGTTCCAAACCTGTAAGAGTTTCTTCTGTTGAACACAAAGAAAGAGGTTTTGAAGAATGTGGTCCTCAATGACTGATATAGTATTTTTTCCATACTGTGGACGTCAATGGAGACCAACAACTGTTTGCTACCAACGTTCTTCAGAATCTCTTCCTTTGTGTTCAGCAGAAGAAACTCACGAGTAAATGATGACATCTGTTGCAGGAACACAGAGTGAAACTCACTGCAGTCTTTGAGAGGCTCGTCTGACCAGTCGCGGCAGTCTCTCTGACCGTCACACACACTGTCTGCGCTGATGCACTCGCCGCTGCCGCACTTAAACCGGCTCGGTCCGGCACACGCGTGCACTGCAGACAGACACACAGTTATGGTCAGACAGCAGCTTTATCACATTCTCGAGTGTGACGGACGGCGTGCGACGCTCACCGGTGACGCAGTCCGTCTCATCGCTGTGATCCCGGCAGTCAGGATTCCCGTCACACTGCCGTATTCCCGGGACACAGCTGCCGTCGTTACACAGGAACTCATCCGGACGGCAGGTGAGCGCGGCTGCGACAGACACAGAACATGAGCGAACGATCTCTCAGACACACTGCATTCTGCATCAGACATCGAACACGCGTGGACTCACTGCAGTTGTGCTCGTCTGAGCCGTCTGCGCAGTCAGTGCCTCCGTCACACCTCCAGCTGCCGTGGACACACTCGCCGCTGGAGCACAGGAGCTCGTGATCGCGGCAGACCGTCTGCGGCTGCTGACCTGTGCCACCTGTGCAGTTCTGCAGCCACTCGTCAGAGCCGTCTGCGCAGTCGGTGTCCCCGTCACAGGCCCAGAGCCGCGGCACGCACACAGAGTTATTGCACTGGAAGGAGCCGGGGCCGCAGGTGGGCGCGGGACAGGACGCCTCGTCGCTGCCGTCGTCGCAGTCAGAGTCAGAGTCGCACACGAACGACAGCGACACGCACTGACCGCTGCGGCAGTGGAACTCCTCGTCCGTGCAGTTCTTCAGGACTAAAACAACACAAGAACAAAACCACCGTAAACACAGCTGAACATGCGACCTGTCATCTAGTAAAGTGAGCTTGAGATGGTTATATTTACCGCAGCCCTGCTCGTCTGCGCCGTTCTCGCAGTCAGACTTCCCGTCGCAGCGCCACCTGGTGGACACGCACTGATTGAGACGCCCGCCGCAGCTGAACTGACCCGACGAACACGTCTTCTGGCCTGCGGCGGAGAGTGAGCGTTAGCATACTGATCTCTGAGCTTTAATGAGTTTATCAAGCGCACACTCAATCATCTCATCAAGCAAAAGCAAATATAATGACTGTAAACATCAGCAGGCGTAACTGTCTGCAGCGGTGCAGTAATGAGGAGTGTGTGACTCACTGCAGGACTCTGGCAGCTCGTCGCTCCCGTCGCCGCAGTCGTCCGTCTCGTCACAAACCCAGCGGCTGGTGATGCACTTCCCGTTTGCACACCTGAACTGCTCCTGGCTGCAGACGGCTGCACCTGACGCACACACACACACACACACACATGAGGCTCTACACACTTATCTCATCTCCACTGTCACATGATCACCTCTGATGTTTGACGTATCAGTTTGTCATATTCTAGCGGTGTCCCCATACTTAAAATTAAAACATTAACTTGTGAACTTTCATAGTAAAACATAACCACAAAGGTAAATGTTTAACATGTGTCAGTAGAGAGAGAGAGAGATACAGACAGAAATAGAGAGAGAGAGAGAGAGAGCTGGTCTTTGCACAAAGCATTTGTTGATTAGAAACATTCGGTGTCTTTGACTGATGACGGGTGTGTAGTGTCTCTTTAAGACAATGTGTGTGTGTGTGTGTGCGTGTGAGTGTGAGAGAGAGAGAGTGTGTGTGTGTGAGTGTGTGAGAGAGAGAGAGTGTGTGTGTGTGTGTGTGTGAGTGAGAGAGAGAGAGAGAGAGAGAGAGTGTATGTGAGAGAGAGTATGTGAGAGAGAGTGTGTGTGTGTGTGACAGTGTGTGTGCGTATGTGAGTGAGAGAGAGTGAGAGAGAGAGAGAGAGAGAGAGAGAGTGTGTGTGAGTGTGTGTGTGAGAGAGAGAGAGAGTGTGTGTGTGTGAGAGAGAGAGAGAGAGAGAGAGTGTGTGTGT